ATCCATTTTCTGTATTAAAACCAAACTCCTCAGTCCTCACCCTTCTTCTCCACACTGCAAGAACTCGGTTCTTTGCTCGAATAAGCTCCAAACTATAACGACATTGAAATTATGTCCAGTTCAAACAGCTGACTTTACAATTATTCATTTACAGGTTATCACATTTTTTTTCGACAACAAGAATCCTTGTAATATATATTAATCAAACACAGAATCAGAATTGATATCCCAGATAAATATCCCCAACACCGCATTCACCCTCGAGTTTAATTATCAACAACCTTTTATCCGAATTGTATTCAAATTCCTCTTTCTCTCCGTTCACTGCACAGTAAATTGGTTTTTCACTTGAGTAAGCGCCAAAGGCACCAGAGCCACGTGCTTTTATTCTCACCGTGCTCTTGAAAGGCTCGTTTATGAAGCTCACACCTTCGATAGCGCCACCCGAGTTGAACATGTCGATCAGTCCAATCGGAGCAAAATCGACTAGTTCGTTGAAAACCTGTTCAAGTGGCATGTCGTAAGTATCAGTGAAAACTTAAGCTGTTGTAACAACCCGTGAAAAAAAAAAAAAAAAGATAGCTTTTGTATTTTACCCTTATTGGGGAGATTGTGAATATTTCACATTCGAGAGTGCCTAACACAACTTCAACGGCTTCTTCTTTCGACAATCGGGAAAGGGAACCTATGCGACATGATGAGGCATTTGTATTTTCAAAAAGATTATTGGTTCATTCGTAATTTAACCAAAACCCAATGAAAGTTAGAAGGTACATACATACCAGAATGGAAAGCATAGACAGCACAATCCCCATTCCAGCTTTCGTCAGCTACTTGTTGAAGAAAATCAATGTCCTCAGGACTAACACGGCCCGATAAAACTGATGACTCAGAGGATGAATCGGAATCATGTGGCGGCCCATCTCTCAACGGCCAATTTCCAGCTCCTTGGCAGTTGAAAACTCCGACTAATCCAGAAAATTTGTTCACGTTCCATATTTTCATTAAGCTGCATGCACGGCTTGTGAAAGCAATCAGCATAATTGATTCTTTGACCAAAAAAAAAATAAAAAATCCTTGAGAATTCAATAAATTATCCAGTAATTTTGGTTGTTTCACCTTTTCCCGTCCATTACTGTGTCCACAAATAAGCAGTCACGAGTGGGCCGACCAGCATATTTGGCTCTCAGTATGGACCCATCAGGCAATACTAACTTCTTGAGTAACTTGAAATCATGCTTGCCCGGCTTGTCACTGTAGTAATATGAGAAAGCCCATATATAACGAAAAACTTCATGGATTTCGGATCATATCAAGACTTTTTCTTGCTTCCTTTTTTTACTTTTTACTACAGTAAGTAAAGTGAGTCTTACGGCTCTTACCTCACATACACAGGGCATCCGCCCACAGCTCGTGCTGCGCCATGGAATTCTGCAGCGTAATGATCACTCTAAAAGAGCAGTAAAAAAGTTAGCTGTAAAGATGCATAAACTTGCTACAGTATTTAAGTTAGTTTTTAAAACAACCTGCTCGAAGTTAGTTTTTCTAACAGAATTAAACAACGGGATATTACTTGCAGATAGAAGTTAAATATTAAATAAGTTGAGGAGTGTGTGGTGTATAATTTTTTTTTTTTTAAATAAATAGATAAAATAGTTCATTTGCATGAGTAACTTGAACCAGAAGTAGAAACAGATATCTAAACCACATAAATCGAAACGAAAATTAAAGTAAAAGGTCAACGGTTAGCATCCAAAATATACCTGAAACATGTCCCAATCAGGCACAACAATCTCCCCCAATAGAAGACTATTGAAGGCCACAGAGGCAACATGCAATGTCTGAAATTTATGTTCCCAGGGCATGAAATCTTCGGATGCTCTTGAGGTGGCACTTCTCTTTGAGCTGGAAAATTAATCTTCAGTCAAAAAGCTGTCTCTAATTTGAAAATAAGAGCTACTTACTAGAAAAAATATACATAATTGATCTTCAGTCAAAACCATTTAACCATGTCTGAAGAACACATCCTCACTCGCATTTTTCATCCACCGTAGTGGAGCGAACATTAACTACTGACTTCACTGCATATTATTACAATCACTTCCCTCAACTTTCTAAAAAAATTTGATAACCAACTACTTTATTTATCAATATATTACAATCACATCTGTTTGAAGGGTGTACGTAAATTTTTTCTTCTACATCAGCAGATTCCATCATGTCAGCAAATACCGAGGCAAACAGTAAGGCAGTTAAAACCTCAAGGCTATTTTATGTAATTAATTTTTATAACTAGCTGGGTTTCTTTCATTTCTTTTTAATACCAAACCTGTAAATCGAATCAGAATTATGACTCATGCAACATATCAAGTTACTCTCCTTGAAATTTCTTGCAACAGACTCCTCAAGTGCTCCTTGGTATCGTCTAGTGAGAGAAACCCGACCGCCATGGCCCGTTCCGAGCGTCTCGATGAGATTTTGGACGTCTACTTTTACTCCATCAATGCCGATGCCCGAGAGGTAGCTGTGGAGATCATTGTAAAAATCAAAAATTTTATCGGGATCTATAAGACCAACTCCGTATTTTTCTAAGCTATCCATGGCTATGTCCCGTGTGTTTCCTACGTTGCCAGGAGATTGTATGGGATATGTTATCTTGGGATTGTACTTCTTCATTTTCTCGGATGAAGGAAGGAGCCCACCCCAATAACCAATCAACGCATGCCACACGTATACAAATCTGTACCATAAAATGGTTTGCCATTAGCATCATTTTGTACTGGCAGTACAATATCGGGGTATATACAAATATTACTCATAAGATTTAGCCTAATTATGGAAATGAAAAGAAAAAAAAAAGGAAAGAACGACGGAAGATTCAAAGAAAGCTACAAAAGATACGAGAGGAACAAATAAATTGGTTTCATCTCAAATTTACAGAAATATTTACATTGTACAACTTTCACCTCATGATTGGCTAATTTGTAAAACAAATATAAGCTAAATCTCACATTATTCTTAGAATTGATTGTTGAGGTCAAGATTAAACAAAATAAAAAAAATAAAATAAATCAATGTTAGCAGAACATACTTGACACCATATTTTTCCTTGATCATTTGGACGAGGTCATGCAGGTCACGACAGTTACTATCTTCGTCACCAAAGTCCATGAACTTGGAGCATTCACTGATATCGATTAATCTACTCGCGAATCTACAAGACGGTGCATGTAAAACCGAAATAAGAAACTTTCAAGTTACCATAAGAAGTCTCAACATCAAAAGATAGAAATACTTACTGTGTCCCTTCTATAAAAGGTTCTCCTTGCTTTTGGAACTCATTAAATGTATCTTGCCATCCATCATCGATAATCACAAACTTTGGTGGACAACCTCCTTCAATAAAACTGTCAAAAAGTATTAACAAGTCACTACCAAATTTTCCATAAAGAAACTTACATGATACAACTGCGGATTAAAGATTTACGCATGATATACCTTTCAATACCATCTCTAATGCCCCGTGGATTAACATCTTTATAGAAAGCATCCCACGTACACCAACCAAACCAATCTAAATGACTAGGGTTCTACAAAATTAGAAAACATCGTTTATATATAGGCTTTTCAAGGTCATGGGCATCACATACATGAAAACATTCTCATTTATCCTACCTTTTTATGTTTAATATGAGTAAATGTGCCTTTGTGCTGCTCAATTATCCTGCAGAGAGACAATATGTTACATGTTAGTCAAATTCAAGCATGATCGCAATTAATATTCAGGAATAAATAGGAACAAACCAGATTTACCTGAAAGAATCTGTAATGAGCTCAAACGGGTTGTTCCCCGAATTTACAAAGACCGATTCTGATACCTCCGAGGTTTGAACATGGGTGTCCCCTAAAGAAAAATCCATAAAAATTAACAATTTCCAGTGGAACACATAAATGTTGTGTATACTTTACTTCATATTCATTTGAGTTTACAGAATGGAAAAAATAAATAAAAATGCTGCAAGTCAACTTACCACTTTCAACGCAGAACTCGAGCTCATTAGCTGAATTACCTTGCAACGAAGCCCTAAACTGTCCTTCTAAAACGGGCAACAACAAAACATAGAAAGTGTTGTGGCCATTTTTTACTGATAAATTATCATCACACACCGCAACAGACTCTAGCCTAACTTCCAATAGCAGCATTTGTGTTTCCATGGGAATATCTCTTCCCGAACTTCCGAAACGAGGTATCATCCACCAAATTTTATGTCTGAAGAGACACATATACCTATATTCTCTACAATGATTCATACAGAAAACGAGATCATAAATATCCATTTTTCACCAGTGGTAGTACAATCCGGCGCAAGAAAATTCATATGCTGTTGATAAAAGTTTAGTAACTCTGGAAACTACAATGATGAATTTTTTTTCACATTTTGTTGTGCAGGCACACAGACACGAGGAAAAAAGGCAAAGAAAAAGAGTTAACTCGGCATGATTGAGTTGCCTTGCACGAAGTTCACATTTCAACAACTAAATCTTCAGTATATTATTTCTTATCAAGAAAATAAACAAGATCTTTCATTTATACTATTCATAAATAACAAGCAAAACTAGAAACCTGCATAGCAAACCCCAAAAACCAAGATAGGAAAAGGAAAACTTACTTGAGAACCCCAAGACCAAAAACATGTCTTGAGCTGGGGACACTCGAGCTGGCACCAAGAAACGCAGCAGAGGAGGAAGAACAAGATGAGCTGTCAGTCACCGGGAAAACGGCGACGTTTGACGGGACACGAGTCAACAGCGTCTCCCCGTTGACCATCAAAGAGCCGCCTTTGATGCACGGAGCGGCCGCCGCCGCCATTTTAGCCTCTCCCTTCAAAGGTTTAATCTCAGTACCGAAATCCCTTTACTGTTGGTATAATTCATGGGGTTTTTATGAAACTCTCGCATGGTACAATGAAAATGTGCGGGGGTTTGTAAAAAAAATTGAATCTTTACGAGAATTGTGTCTGAAATGAAGTGCTGTGAAGGGTGGACGAGCCATTTTAGGGGAAGAGGAAAAGGACTTTCTTGGGAATAACTTGAACAAACTTTTGGCGGTGCCGCTTCTCATTATATAGCAACGGAGAGTTTTATGAGTACGGCCTTGTAAACATAATAATTAAAACATCTTCATGTACTAATTCATAACGTGTTGAGCTTAAGTGATAGACTCTGATGTTTCGAAATTTGAAAAAATTACATGCTTTGTTATTAGGTTTGGATATCTTTTAATTTACTTTCGATTCAGAAATAATTAGGTCTAGATTATTCATTAATTTGTTGATTTTTTATGGTCATGTTACATGTATTTAATGCATTTTAATACCATTTTTTATTATAACCATTGAATCATAAATGTATTTCAAAAGTTGATATTTTGTATTTTTATCAGTTTTACATATATCTTGACGAGTTTGAATTTAACATCCACATTGTATGTATAAAAAAAAATAAATTATATTTATCTTTATAACAATAATAAAATTATTTTTTAATATTAATTAGAAAAATAAAATTATTTATCAATTAATATACTTATATTTCAAGTAGTTATATGATATAAGAAAATTACCATAATATAACACATGTAAGTCGCACAAGTAACAAGTGTTAATCTAAAATATATATATTTATCAATTAATATATTTATATTTCAAGTAGTTATATAATATGAATTATAAAATTACTATAATATGACAAATGTAATGTCGCACATGTAACAAGTGTTATTCTAAAATATATAATAATATATATTTTAAAAAATGTAAATAAAATTTAAAACAACTTTTCTCATTAATTTGAATATTTAAGACTAATTTTTTAACAAGTACTCGTGTAACACACGTGTGTTGTACTAGTAATTATCTAAGTCTGAATAACAATAAAATTGAATCAAAGTAAATATACATTTAACGAATTATTAATGTCTTAATATTAAATGGTTCAATTTGTGATATTTGACTTAGATTACATTAGAACAATTGGAATATTATTAGGAATAGAACTATGTGTCTTCTCATGTGAATACTAAATACTACTACGTACTGATTACTGAATACTACTACAGGCATATTAGGAATATTAGTAGGATTAGGACTATAGTCTTTCTCCTATAAATACTACTAAACATCGTTCCCTTTCTCGGTCTCAACCAAAAAACAAAGATTTCAACATCAAAAACTTCGTTGAAAGAACGATGATTTCAACATAAGAACTTGGAGGAATGGAAAAAAGCACGGGAGATGAGCAAATTATTAGCGACGATGAGCGGTTCTTTGAGTGAGACGAATACGAAGGATCAAGAAAGTTTGACTCCGGTAAGTTTTACATGCAATTTAGTTAATCTAAAATTCGTGTTTTATGAAGTAATATATATGGGACTGGCTACGATGCGGTGCAGACACCATTCCGTTAATTTAATTTCAGTTATTAGATCTTGTAACATTGATCGGGACCTTTAGATGTGGTAAAAGTCTACCAAATCAAAGTGATGTGGCAAGTGTTTATTGGTTCCGCTAAACTGCACAACGGGACTTAAGAATTTTCCAGTATAATTACATATATACTATTTCAATTTCGTCTTAAAGTTATGAAAATGCCCGTTAAATTTTTAAAGTTTATATTATATGCACTTTTCTATATAGTTGTTAGACAGCATGGCATGTAAGAGGAGAAACGGATTAAATTTTAATCATACCACACGAATAAATACATACTGATGTTGCATTAAACGTAAAACTGAAATGTGCTCATTCTATGAAATTCAAAACGGCTAAAAATCTCACATAATTAAATACCTAGTATAATTAATCAATGCCTAAATAAATGTATTTAAAACATATGAATCACATGCACAAGTCAAAATAAATAAATAAATAAATAAAATCTCAATCCCATACCACTTTTCTTGATCTGCACATATATACTTGAGTCATCATCACAAGAAGAAGCAAAGTTATTCACCTCACAGTTACACCCTATTTAATTTTATGCATTATGCTTATGTCCCCTCAAAGTTAAAATTTCGTATACAATCTTCCAAACTTCTGCTTATCTTATCTTACACATTTTGTTTCATCTTGCAAGGAAAATATGCATCGATCAACAAGCTATTCGTCCACGGGCAGGCCATCTGACGAGTTCTCAGTGAACTTCTCACCGGCCGCTTTGAAGGGTTTGGATTCTAACGACTCGTTAACTGGTAACTACAGTACTAATCACAACGTTAATGGCGAACTCGTTTCGGATGATATCTCTAAGAAGGATATTTCTTTGAGGCCTTCACCAGAAGCAGAAAAGGCTATTCATTTAATCCCACTGGTTTTGTTGATTTGTTTTTTGATTCTTTATCTGCTCTCAAGTCCTGTGACTCGTGACACCAAACCCCTGCAGTGACTCCATATGTTTTGTGTGTGTTGGTTTTCTTTTTTAGTCGAAGGATAATTTTCAAGAATCAAGTTTGATTTTGAATAGTTGTGATTACGATCGACTCGTCCTTTTTTTTTTTCAATAAAAACGAATACTTATGGTAAAAGTTGTCATACATTTTATACTGTCATTTAGATTATAACATTTCAATTTGAAAATATGCATATCTGTTAATAGATGATGGTTGTCTAACAGCCATTAAGCCTGCCTAACAATAATGGATTTAATGGTGTTTGTGATGGTCATCCAGATATGATATATATATATATATGTATATATACATTCTTGAGTAAAAGGGTTATTATGTATAGATGTGACCTGGGTTTAATTGAACTCAGAAATTAATTCAATAAAATGATGGTATCATTTGAACAAATATAAAAAGAGTAATGAAAAAGGACAAGAAAAGAAAGAAAAGAATCACAGTATAGAATGCCAAGAACTTTATATGTACAGAGAAATTGATGAAAATCATCTATTATTATTATCAGGCTGGCAAAAGCTACTGCAGATTTTTCATGGTTCACAGTGATAACTCAATAGAGCTTTATCCTTGTCTGAATGGACATTCGGCAGATTGGGCATGACGAGAGTTCTTCTCCGCATTCGCAACATGTCTACATTCGATAAGAGCTCCTTTAGAAATAAAAATAATAAAAAAAACACAAATGGAAAGTAAAACGAATATAATGAATAATGAGTGTTAAACCTGGTGTCCACAGCCGAAAGCCATGTTCTTTGGTTCGGTAATGCAAATGGGGCAGAGCTGTTGTAGAATGAGAGAAGTTAAACATATATTGTCATTTGTCAATAAAAATTTTAATGTATTTGTTCGGATATTTTCGCGAATAACAGAAGTAGAAAGAACATTCGAAATTATTACATGGTTATCTGAAGTACAGCTGCTTGTAGACTGGCTTGTACGAACAGGTGGTTCGTGTTGGCTGCTAGAAGGTGCGCTCGGTCGAAAACTGCCAGCTCGTGAAGGTTTAGGTGTAGAAAAAGAAGCTGCACCATATAGAGGAGGAGGAAGAGCAACCCTATCGATAACCTTACCCCTTGATGCACTGTCGAGACAGTATTTATTAAGAGCATAATTAGAGACTCGAATAGATTTTAAAAATTAAAGAATAAAATAAGAAATAACGGGAGGAGTAAACGAAGAGAAAAAGGTGCTTGGAGAAAAAAATAAAATAAAATAAATCCAACCCGAGAATGTTAAGCTCCAGTGTGGCTTTATATTGAGAAGGTATTTCCATCAGAGCTGAAAGTGCAAACTCAGCTTCTTTCCGAGATCGATCCATGTTTTTGGACATAATCTCTGTAAAGTTTACAAACTAGAAAATACCGAAAGCAAAATTCACTTTTAGTTATTCTTCTTTCTATTATTTAGGGAACCATCATCGAAATTGACTTATGTGAGAATGCATCTTGTAATTGAAACCTCAAGAAAAATGTTTTAATTAATCAACTAAGAGAAAGGGAAAGATACCACAGGTAAACTTACCTGGAAATTGTCAAAGGCTCGTGCAGGAATGTTGTCGTCAAATTCCCTCATCATATCCCAAGGCCCATCACCAACTCCCACTAATATGATAGACAATGGATATTCACTGTACATAAACAACAGAAAAAATCGAAGGCAATTGAAAACGATTCATATCTCAACCAATTGGGATAATTAGCCAGTAAATTGTCTGGAACCACACCAAAAATACCTTGCTCTGACAATTGCATCCACAGTTTTCTTCTCTTGGGGACTTAACTGGCCACGACTAGTGTCGACACTTCTTGTGACCTATACATAACTCATATAAACTTTTTGAAATATTATATTATATAATATAGTATAATATATAGTATAATATATATATATATATATATATATATATATAATTTTCATCAACCGGTGAACTCACTCGCACTCTGGAAAAGTAATGCAGGGGAACAAGAATTTGACAGCTAATTACTAAAATAACAAAAAGATCAAAGAAAACTGTATCTACTGATTTATGAGGTCTAAGCAAACGGCTTGTACTTTTTAGTGCATGGAACAGGTTATTTCACCTTCAGTTCAAAGTCAATCTTTCACGTATAAACAGTAGATAATATTAACTTCGACTGTGAAAGCCCTCACCATGATTAAGTTTCAAATAGTCCCAAAATTTAATTTCAGAACAAATTAAGAGTAATTCAGTTTAAGTTGGTCAATAGAAATAGTACCTGACCATCAGCGATTATCAGTAAAACATGGTACTGGCCGCCACTTTGCTCGACAATAGTGATAGCCATCTCGATAACAGGAGCAAATGAAGTTGGTCCTGTATAGACAACAAAAGTCTTCAGTACAAAGGCATCAGTTAGAAAAAAAGGAGAAACCTTAAATAACTCAAACAAGAACCTGCAAGTCGCAATTGAGGAACAAGCTCTCTGTACCGGCTCAAAACTTCCTCAAATCCATCACAAAACCTCTCATCAGGGAAAAAGCTGAAAACCTCTTGGTCATGTGTTGAAGCTGCAAGTATTATGCTCATAAGACTTCCACTTAAGTTACGTATAAAGATGAGAATGTAGTCAATTCACTGGAAAGTACCATCTCCAAAACCAAAACATGGAATCAAATTATCTTCATCGAATTTGGATAACGTTCTTCCGATAATTGATATGGCTTGTTCATAGGGATTTGACTCATCTCCAATGTGATGCAAACTTCTTCGATGAAATGATCTTGCACCTGTGAGAGAGAGAGTATGAGTGAATCTCTTTCAAATTATTGTCAACCATTTTAAAACAGAGAATGAAAATTACCTGTCCACTCATTACTCTTGGTGAAATCAATACCGACAATTAAATTTGATGACTCCAGACCAGCACGAGCAAGGGCATCCGTGACCTACAGAGTATTATTAAGTGGTGGAAAAAAAAATATTCAACACATTGATCTAAAGCACCATTCACGAGTTATATAAATCAATAAGAAAAAAACATCAACGGGATAACCACCAAATATCACTATGAAAATTTTAAACAATCAGTAGCTGATTTCTTCTCATTATTCGAGAAAATATAAATATAAGACAATTACAATAAATAGATAGTTTTACTTATGATCCTATGCCACGACAATTTGACAAATCACCAACACTTGAGGAAGCTGTTCCAATTTCGCTCGGGTAAATGGAAACAAAAACAATTTTGCTAGATCCACACACAATCAATCCGAGTCACCTTTGGAACACAAACAAAACCTAGCCACAAACTGCTCTCACGTAACAATACCCCACAAGGCAGAAAAAAAAAAATGAAAAGACATTTCCTAAGTATAAATGGTCCTGGTTGTTTGAATTGCAGCAACATGAACTATAAAAGAGATGCACTTATATACCTCATATTCCAAACTAAAAGAGACCTTTATTCCAAACTTGAGTTAAATTTTACTATCTCAAAAATAAAGATGCACTTAGATACCTCATATTCGTCCTTTATAAACCGAAAATTAAAATTCAGCTTTTATATTCCGGCTATTGAAGTTAAACAAAGTAAATCCACATTCCACACAACCACAAGGGAAACAAAACAATTCCGTTTGTTTTAGAAATCAGTACCTGATCTAAAGAGCTGTAATTGTCATCTATTTTCGAGTACTTCCTCTCCAGCTTTCTCTTGGACTCGGGTGGTGGACCACCATAGGTTGGCTGTGAAGATGAATAGCTGTACCCCGGCTGAGCATACGATTGTGGATAGGCATTATTACCTCGCGAACCCGAACTCGATGCATAAGATGAATACCGACCAGAGATCGACTTTTTCGAATGCTTGGCACCCATCAGCTCTTGAACCTGATAAAAATCCCATGTTGTAAAGATTCGTACTTTTGCCTTTATTAACGCAATTGAAGCTAAACAAGCCTTCGGTATGAAGTTACCAGCACCATATATACATAAGTACACTCATGATAGCTCAGCCCAAAACAAAATCTAAGCATGAAATAATTCGATATTTCCAATTAGTTCGATTTGCATACGAAATTCACTCCGAATCTAGCAAATGTCCAACTCCCAACACTAAATTCAGGGGTTACATTCATACGCAATCAGAACACGAATCCAGTTTCTATGAAAGAATTCAACAACGAAACAATCAAGAAAAAAAAAAAAAAAA